AGAAGGAGCTGCTAAAGTTGGCGTCAGCCGACCCCGAGTTGCACAAGGGGTCCCCAATAATCTCGGCGCCGCCAGTGTCGGGGCAGTGCCTGGGTACCCTGGCCTGGCGTGCCCTTAGTTATTAATGACGAGCTGGAATACCCCTGCCGGCTGCTCTGGGCCGGGCGGCCGGGCGGCGCGCAGTTCAAAGAGGGCCGGCGGACGGTCCCTTCCTCGCTCCAGTCCGCGGCTCTGCCATTTTATTAATATCTTTGCCCATCTGATATCGTAGGGCATGAGAGGGCGGACTGCGGAGACTCTGTCTCTCTTTCTCTCTCTCTGTCTGCCGCGTGACCCGCTCTGAGATTATTTTTTATTACTAATTTATTTGGCCATAGCGGGGAGCAGGCGGTCTCTTCCCTTCCAACCGACCAGCGGAGCAGAGTGAGCTGCGCAGCTTCTTTTTCATTTTATTATGTTTTCCAGCTGCACGTAATTGAGACACACTGGGTAGAGGTATAGTAAGGCTGCGCAAGCTGCTCGGTACTTACGTACCGGCGGCTGGGCTGGATGCTAGCGCCGCCGGAGCGTTGGGGGCTTTCCCCTCCCCTACGCACCCCCTCTCTCCGCCTGGCCCGAGCGAGTACAGGCAAGCCCGCAACACTCCGGCGCGTGCACTGATATACCCTCCCGGCAGCGGGGCACGGCGACGGTCGATCGGACGAACGCCGGCGGCGGCGGAGGCGGCGGCGGCTCCCAGGGCCGACGGCCGACCGGCCGGCCAGACCCGGGCCCGGGAAGGCCAAGGGCCGCAGCCGAGTGACACTGATATATCGTCGGCGGAACTTGCTCACTTCAGCAAAGGCTTTTGGTCCATCCATTCCAATTGGTAATGGAACCGCAAAGCAGCGCAAAGCACGAGGCGGCGGGGAAGATCGTGCGTTGCTTTGGCCTCCTGGAGCTGTGTTCGACGACGACGACAACAACAACAACAACAACAACAACAACAACAACAACAACAACAACAACAACAACAACGGCGAAAACAACGACGACGAAGGGTTGGGCTTTAAGCGCCTTTTGACATTTTTAAACGCACAGCGGCGGAGGGCGAGGCGAGTCAGGCGAAGCGCAGCTCAGCCCTCACGCCGGGCACGACGCGGGGGGCGGGGCGGGGCGGGGCGCGCTGTCCGTTTAATCCTCCTCCTTTTTGTATTGCGTCCGTCACGTCCGCCGCGCGCCGGGAGGTCAAAGACTGGAAGCTCGCTTGTTGAAACAGCCGAGGCGGTGGCCTTTTTCACGACGCCGCGGCGAGCAGCAGAGAGAGGGGCCAAGTTGGATTTTTTTATTTTTTTATTTTTTATTTTTTTGTAAAAGCGAGAGGGAGGACCCGGGGCTGCTGCTGCGCCGCCGTGCTGGACTGGGCTAATGGAACACTGCAGGGACAGCGGTGGCAAGGCCAGTCAGGCCGGCAGTGCCCAGCCGCTTATCTGAGCCCTGCGTGGAACAGGTAGCCCGACACAAGCAGCGGCACCCGGCACTGGGCGGCGCCACCCGGCCGGGCACCGCACCGCAGCCCCGGAGATAAGCGCAGAGGGGTTGTGACACCCCATGTGTGTGTGGAGGGGGGGGGGAGGGGGTTCTAGCTGACGTCACGTGACGCGAGGGGGCCGCCACTCCTGAAATCATGTGTACGCCCTCCCTGAAATCCTCCCGAAATGATTTGGAGTCCGCCTGCAATCATGAAATCATGCGTAATCTGCCAGCAAATTTTAGTCTGAAATCCTTAGAAGGTCATGTAAAAACCGCCGGAATCACGTAAAATCCGCCGGAATCT